GGCAGGACAAGGGTTTTGTAGGAGGGGCTGACAAGCGGTTTTGCAAAGTTTACAAAGTTTTAAAATTGTAAAAATAAAACCTTTAACATTTTTTACAGGTTTTTTTTTTTTTGGGTGGGGGGGGGGTGCCAAGCACAGGATCCGCCCCGGGTGCCAAATGCTCTAGGTACGCCCCTGTATTTTTGAAAAGTAGACAACTCAGGGTATTTTAAATGGTGCAATAATTCTACCAGCAGCCTTTGGCAAACTTTTGGGTAGTAATTTTCTTCGTGTTTTTTTACACATACATTGTACTTTAGGCATGAATTAACAGATCCTGTTATGTATCACTGCCAAACAACACCCCAATATGTGTTCAGCAACATCTCCTGAGTACAGTGATATCACCTATGCATAGGTTTGCTGGGTTGTTTGGGGGCTAAAAGGCCACAATCGAGACTTGGACATATCAGTTTTTCAACTTGATATATAGGTATGCTTGGCCTATCTTCAGTTTGGCATATTTTTGCATCCCCCCGTTAATGTTAACATCATGAAAGTTTATATTTTTATAAAGTAGACATTCCAGGGTATTGTATATGAGGTGTTTTCACATCCTTCCCCCAACCATTGTGCTAAACAATTTTTTTAGCTTTTTATGCACACATCATCTGGTTTTGGCCAGCCAGTTATATGTTACTACCATAAAACTTTTTTAACCAAATGTGCAGGTATCAAATGCACCTTTAGCAGCATTCTCTAAACTAACTCCTGCAAAAAGAATCTAATTGGAGATTTGGGGGGAAAGGAAACTGACTAACTAAAATGTGCTGCTTTCAAAAGAAAAAAAAACAGTGCAAAGGAGTGTCTGTCCTTTTCCCTTTTTTATAACAGACCCAGCAACATTTCAGGGGATTTGTTTTTTTTTGCAGTTGGCGGTATCTTAAAAATAAAATGTTTGGACTCCTCTTGCACCGTTGTTGGAACTTGACCATCTCCATAAAAAATCAGCTTGAACTAAAATTGGAGAAAGGTGGTTCTTTCTGGATTCATTTTTTGAAAGAGTAAAAATGAATTATGTGTTGCTACTTGCATCAGGTAGATAGTCACCTTTTTATACCAGGCTTTTGTCTTTCTTAAGATAAGATATGGCTGCATCAGCTGATCAGCCAAATAACACCCCCATGTGCATTTTATAAGCCCTAATGGAAACTGGTTTGGTCTGTACTCTGCCTCGGACAGTGACGTCTGACAAGCTTTCGTCATGGATGGTGGTTAGTATATTAACATCCTTCCTGTCCTTAAATTTTATTGCAAGCACTTTAGCTTTGTGCAGACCTTTACATTCACTTTTTTTAATTTGGCCTCTATAAAAGGTCTGGGGAAATCCTTGGCATATCTTCTCACACTGCCACAGGCCAGTATCTAGAAACCCTAAAGAGTTTGAAACAAACGGACAATGCTATAAAAATTGTCCACATAAAGGTGGTAACCCTTATTGAACAAGGGGATCAGTAAGTCAAAAACAAGTTTCCCGCTTGTCCCCAGAGAGTCAGTACAGCCAGGAGGGTCCAGTTGACCATCTTTCCCCTCATATATACAAAAGGCAAATGTATAGCCACTTTCGCTCTCGCACAGTTTGTAGAATTTTACGCCATACCTAAAGCGCTTTGAGAGGATGTATTGTTTGAATCCTAATCTCCCTTTATATTTCATTAACGATTCATCAATAGATACATTTTTTTGACGAGTATAAACTTCAGTAAATTTGTGCTGAAGATGGTCTACCAGTGGGTGTATTTTATGAAGCCTATTATATTGGGTGTGATCTCTGAGGGTATTGTCATTGAAATGTAAGTATCTCAGCAGCAGCTCAAATCTTGTTCTAGACATGGTTTGAGAGTACACTGGACTAGAACAGATTGGGTTGGTGCTCCAGTAAGAGCAAATTGATGGCTTCTTTATAATCCCCATGAGAATTGTAAGAGCCCAGAATTTTTTTAAGTTCAGCGACATCTGTGGGATGCCAAGCACACTCCTCCCTGACTGCATAGCTATCTGGATTGGTATCAATAAATTGGGTAGCATATAAATTAGTCTGGGGACCAATCTCCTCCCAGATGGTATCCCCTAAAAATAGCTACATATATTGCATAGGGGAGAAGTCATCCACATTGACATTAATGCCTGTGTTGGCACTAAAAGGGGTGATTTGGGGCTCAGCTAACTGTGGAGAAACCCGTTCCTCCTCCACATTCGGCGTAGCAGAGAAAGCACAGCTTCTTTTTGCAGCCAGCTCACACACAGATGACATGTCAGAAAACTGACCTGGGTCAAAATCGGACGCAGTGTCAGTGGCGTCAGAGTCGGACTAACACAGAGTTACTAACACACACTTTTTTTTAATTTTATACTAAAAAAAGACTAAAACTGATAAAAACAGACTAAATGAGACTAAAACGTCTGTTAGCAGCAATCTGTAAACTAACTCCTGCAAAAAGAATCTAACTGGAGATTTGGGGGAAGGATACTGACTAGCTGAACTTGATGGACGCAAGTGGCTACACATTTGCCTTTCGTGTATATGAGGGGAAAGATGCGGTGACAGAGCTTATTGTCGTTGAAATGTAAGTATCTCAGCAGCAGCTCATATCTTTGTCTAGGCATTGTTTGGGAGAATATAGGAGTCGAACAAATTGGGTTGGTGCTCCAGTAAGACCGGATTGATGGCTTCTTTATTATCCCCATGAGCATGGTAAGAGCCCAGAATGTTTTAAGTTCAGGGACATCTGTGGGATGCCAAGCATGCTCCCTGACTGTATAGCTACCTGGATTGGTCTCAATAAATTGGCTAGCGTATAAATTAGTCTGGGAAGTAATCTCCTCCCAGATGGTATCCCCTAAAAATAACTCCATATATTGTATAGGGGAGAAGTCAACCACATTCACATTAATGCCTGTGTTGGCACTAAAAGGGGGGATGTTGGGCTCAGCTGACTGTGGAGGTACCCAGTCCTCCTCCACATTCGGCGTAGCAGGGGAAGCACAGCTTCTTTTAGCAGCTGGCTCACCCACAGATGACATGTCACTAGACGTGCCGCTAAACTGACCTGGGTCAAAATCGGACGCAGTGTCAGTGGCATCAGAGTCTGATGCCAAGAAGGCATATGCCTCCTCCAAACTGTACATGCGCTGCATGTTTCACACTAACAGACTAAACTAACAAAATACTAAACACAATTTTTTATTTTTATTTTTTTTTACACTAAAATAGACTAAAACAGTAATCCCTAAACTAACTCCTGTTAGAAGAATCTAATGGAGATTTGGGAGAAGGAAACTGACAGACTACGACAGACTAAGACAGACAGTCTAAGACAGTCTAAGACAGTCTAAGACAGTCTAAGACAGTCTAAGACAGTCTAAGACACAGATTTTAAAATAAAGTTAACCCTTAAGGGCAAAAAAAAAAAAATACAGACAGTACAAATGTCTGTAACAGATCTGGCAGGGAAGGGGTTAAAAGGGAATTTTTATTAACTGCTGATACTTTTTAATTCTCTCTGGAACACCTGCTGCAACAATATATCATGATCTCTCCTCTCACAAAACGGTACAGAGGGAAGAGAGGCAGAGATCAGTGTCAAAGTGAGTGTTTGTAACACCCATTTTGACACCAGCCAATTGTGAGCGATCGCGGATCGCTCACATGCCGCAATTGGCTGGTACTATCTGCCTGGGATGCCGGGCAGATAGTAACAATGGGATTTCGGCGGAAGTGATCTCCGATTGCTCCCGCCGCCCGTTTTCCGTTAGGACGGTTCAGATGTTGTGGACTACATCTCACTTGATGCTTTGCCAGCACTATGGCTGTAGAACATTATGGGAGATGCAATCCACAACAGCTGGAGTTCCAAAGGTTGCCTACCCCGGTTCTATACAGGTTGCTCATTGTACATGAAAGAAACAAAAAGACACTTCGCCATAAAGGGTTGGAGTAACCATTTAATGGATCATGGTTTAAGACAAAAGGAGAGCTGTAAATGACTGTCGTGGTTATGGTGCTCTAAATATTCCTTTAAGAAGAGGGGGTGAGATGGAAAATCTCTTTAAGTTTGGACCCATTCCCTATAAGTTGAACTAAGACTGTGATTTGTCTTGTTTCATTTAAAAACAGGTTTGCATAAACCAAATACAGTATATATTTATAATGCAACTTTTGTTTCTTTTTAGATTTTCTAAAAACAGATCGTGCTCATGAAATATCTGAGCCTGTAACTTTAAATGTACATATAAATTATTATAATAATTAGTCTCAGTAATTCATAAATATTAAAATAAATAAGAACTCATTTGTAGTTTGAAAAGAAATAAAAAAAATGTGGTATCAATATTTTTTTAGGGAAAACTGTTTTCTGGTGTATAAGCAATATCATGTTTTTGGAATGCATTTATGAATGTCTTCAGTACACAAGAAGCTTGAGTTTGCTTGTTTTGTAAATGAGGACACAAGGACATTTGTTTTTACAGTTGTGTCAATAATACTGTCTGTATTTGTCACTAGGTCCACCTGCATTTTATTGGATGAAAATCTATAAAAATAGACTAAAACTAACCTTGGATCCATCACCGGTTATAAGTTCTCCCCAAACAATTCCACATGTCCCCTGTCATCACAACACTTGGTGCTGGTCCAATTGGATACAAGGAGTGCAGGACTGTTTGGATTTTTTTTTATATATATATATATATATAAACGCCAAATGATGGTCCGCACTCTCAGTCTCCATTTAAAATATAACTTTTATTCACATCAAAAATAAGAAATAGATGCCATATGTAGTCAACGTTTCAGTCCCAGGTCGGGACTTTCCACAGGACAGCATGTATATTATATATATATATATATTATATATATATATTATATATATATATTATATATTATATATATATATAAAAAAACAGAGTACACTTAAATAAATGCCGGGTGCCAGCCAGGGCTCAATGTATCCAAACAAAAAAGCAACAAATATAGCTGCACTCACAGACTTGTAATAAAATCTTCTCGTCTTTATTGTTTCATATTAAAATGATCAACGTTTCAGTCCCTCATGGGGACTTTCCTCAGGATCATGAGGGACTGAAACATAGATAATTTTAATATGAAACAATAAAGAAGAGACAATTTTATTACAAGTCCGTGAGTGCAGCTATATTTGTTGCTTTTTTGCTTATATATATATATATATATATAAAAATATATATAGGCTTGCCTGGAGTTGTGGGAGGGGCTTGTTGATCCTACTTAAGCACTCCCCTTTACCTGCATCACCGTGGATTCAGACATTCGGCAGGCCATCACTTCCGGTTCCACTACGTCCGGGTCACAATCCTGTTACTAGGTCTGTGTGTTCCACGGTCGTCAACCAGCTGCTGCTTGCTAAATCACTCGGGTGCTCGGTAAATCGTAACTTTACACTGTCTCCGGTCCATACAACACTCTTCCACATGCTCGTGGCCCGCTATGGGGGGCGGAATTCAAACACATGGGCGCAGATTACACACGGTCTTCTCATTTGCCGGCTGTTTGTTTACTTCTCCCACATGGGAGAAACTCCTGTTGCTGCATAGTTTCACATACAACGGCTGTACACGCGCATTGCTGGACGTACTACTGTGTCAATATACTGCTGGTTTACAGCACTGGGACCTATACATCACATGTATTTTCTACTTTTTAAACTAATTTCTGTGGCAAATTAAAGTACCACAGTCACTGGGCATTCTGCCCTATTGCATATAGTTAACACGGGGGAAGCTTATCACTTATAAAGGGGTTTTACACTGGGAGGGAGATTATGCCAATACAGGTTTTCAAAACTAAACGAACAGACTGGTTTTCCTCTTTTCCCTTTCTATATATATATATATATATATATATATATATTTTTTTTTTATGTTATTGTTGGTAATATATATATTAGACTTAGGCTTTCGTATTCGCATGAATGGATTTTCATCCGTACGAATAACGAATGGCTATACAAACTAATGAACGAGCAAACTAATTGGCATCCGATGATATTCTCCCATGTGCATTTCGTTAGTTCATTCATTCGGCTTTTTGAATTACACTATGTGTAATTGCTTACTGCCTACAGCAACCAGGTTTTACATTTAAAAAAAAAAAAATCAGCCTTTTTATTTAATCAAAATTAATTAGCTTAAATTGATTTAAATTTAGAGTAAAGGTAGAATCATTCGAGTACTTTAGCTTAGTGCTGGCCTAGAATAAAATAAATATAGTTTAGCTGTTAGGTCTTTTTAGCAGGAAAGCAACATTAGTTGATTTTTGTTAGACAACATTGATTTTACAGAGGTGCTGCTGTTGCTGCGTGCTGATAGCGAAAGTTAATTTTCTGTCAGTTCCAGCTAAGTGTGTTTGACTGGGTTTTTAATTGTAAATTTTTTTTAAGTGAATCTATACTCCAGTCCACACAAAGTTAGTTTAATCTATGCTAGTAAAACAACTACTAGCACAGAGTCACAGTGACTGACCGACTGATTTTTGTGTCACTCACTCCCTGACTGTGTATGCTTTCTTTGCAGGCAGTCAGTGTAAAAGTTAAGTAATATTTTTTTATTCAGTTAATAGAATTATCTTCAGTTTAAAATATATATTTGGTGTAATATTTCCTTTGTGCTTTGTTAGAACAGAACACACTAGTCAAACAGTATTTTTTGTTTTACATTTTTCACACTTTTAGTATCTTTTTTTGTGTGCTCACATCAGCATCATCAGTGAAGTTAACTGTTCTGACTGCTGTTGTGAAGAAATTACTTTTCATTAACTGATTATTAGTTCCGTTAGTGTGTTTGTTTAACAGCAATCAGTGAAGCTAACTGGTTGCTGTTTTTATTTGGTTTATTTTAGTTCCTGATATATTGACTGTGTGGCTGTCCTAAGCTAAGTTTCAAGGTAGCTGTATTAAATCTTTTATTATTTTTAGTATTATAAAAAATAATAAATTTTTTCATACTCTGTTTGCAGTAATTGAGCAGGGAGCACTTGTTGGCAGACTGCTCACGGCAGACAGTGCTGTTTTGCATAGTTTCTCAGAAAGCACTAGAGTGGAGAAATCTGCCTCAGTACTAGTCTCTATTTTCTTTTTAATATTTTTTTTAACTGTGTTGATCTATGTATCAGCATAGTTCAAAATTTCAAATAATATGTTTTCATAAAAATATAAACTTTAGATTCAAAACACTACATTACATTATCTCTTTATTTTCTTCAACTTCTTTTCTTTCCTTTTCTTTTTTTACTATTTTAAAATTCTAAATGGATCCTCCACTAAAATGTCCATCCACTAGTAAAGTGAGGGAGGGTCAGTCAGCCACCACCACCAATACCACCACCACAAGTAGTGGTAGTTTGAGTACGCAGCCTATGCGTCAGCTGAAGCGGTCAAGGAGTGCCGCTATGTCAGACTCACTGCCTAGAAGGCCAAAGTCTTTGACACGCATTTCAGGCCTGTTGGTGCGAGATCCTGGTCAAGGAAAGGCACCAATAGCAGGCAGCAGTGCAGCAAGGCGCAGAACTGCAAGTCTTTTCTATGGTAAAGGGAAACCAGCAGGGCTTTTTCAGGTGAGCACAATGGCTAGTACTACTACTAAAAACACCACTAGTAGTAGGAGTAGCCCAATAAGTAAGAGGAAGCATGTTTTGCCCCCAGCGTCTTCCTCTACCACAAGCAGGCCTGTGAGTCATAGTGCATAAGAAATAATAAAATAGTGAGAGCACACAATACATGCAAAAAACTATATTACCAGTATCGTCCTGGGTAAATGGCTAGAACATTAAAAAAAAAAGAGAAAAAAATATTGTTTTAACTGTATACAATATTGTTTTAACTGTATACAATAACCATATATAATTGGTTACACTCACATGCTTCTGAGTCACTTATATAAGCTGACTCAGACTAAGGGCTTTGGTTAGAGATGAAACCTTTAATGCTGGACACCTTGTATTGATATGCAGAATGAGAGTGAGTTATCTCTGACGATCTCTGGATGTCAAATTCAAAATATTCCAGGATACCGGATCTCATTAAAACTATTTATTTGCTCAAGATTCAAAAACAATTTAAAATCAAATACAGGTAAAATTAAGTCCATCTAAAGTACCACGACGCGTTTCTTCAGGAAAGCCTTTCTCAAGTGGTATTACAGGTCCATCTCCGAATTGCCCCTTTATACTGTGTAGGATTAGCGCTCATTCCCACGCTCTCCGTCTCTCTTTGCTTCCGCTTTCGTCATCATGCGTCGACGGACGTGTCCTGCACGTCATCCCGACATTGTATACCGGAAGCATTATCGATGCCATTTTTAATCCTCTAATTGTTCATATTTGCCCGTTCTCTCTGGCATAATCACGAAAGAATACACATTCTCCACATAAGGTCCTCAAACAGAGGAAAAATAGTAAACCCATAGATCAAGGAGAAATTAAAAACATTAATAATGTTCAACAGGAGGAAATAGCCTTAACACCATGCACATATTAAAACATATCTATATTAAGATTAATAAAAATCAAGATAAACATATAAATACACTCATTAAAAGTATACTCTACTTAGTGATAGTAGCACCATTTATTACTGGTTTTCCCATATTTCTAATATTTTATGGCCTGTGAGTCATGTTGCTAAGAAGCTTCCTTCTTATACACGGAGGCCGTTTCCTAAACCCCCTCCCAAGACCACCACTTCCACCACCACCAGTGCTGCGCCTGCTTCTACCACTGACAGCGGCACATCAGCACAGGAGTTGTTGCCAATGCTACCCCGTGCTCCTAGTCCTATTATCCCTGGAGGTGATACCAGTCTTACCCCCAGCCTTTACTATGAGCCTGAAAGTAAGGAGGAGATAGTAGAGGAGAGTCAGAATTCTTCAGGGAGCAGTCCACCTTTTTCTCCTGCTACTAGTGCATATTTTTCCCCTTCCTCTCCACTTTCTCCAATAGTAGCACCTGCTAGTGCTACTTCAACTATTACCAGACCACCACCATCACAATCAATTATTACCACTACTATTTCCAGGTCCAGTGTTCCTCCTCGCATCCCCCATCACCAGTGTTCTGTGCCAACAATCACCACCACCACTGTTACTACTAGCCACAGTACCAGTGCCGAGGATACTGTGCCAGCTCCCAGTAGTTGCACTCCTGCTGCTGCTCATCAACCTGCACCATTAGCAGCAGAATCCCGAAGGGCAGGTGCCAATGTTTTGCACCGCAGCAAAGTTTGGGATCACTTTGAAAGTGTTGGAGATGGGCGCTTTGCAAAGTGCAAACTTTGTGGGAAGGAAGTCAGCAGGGGGAGAGTGTTCGGTCATCTCACCAGTGCCGGCATGAACCATCACCTTTGCTGCTATTACAAATCTGTGTTATTGAGGGAAGAGGCAAAAAGTACTAGGGCTGGCAGCATAGCTGCTACTATTATAATGTCCAGTACCATGGCAGTTAGGAGTGACAGGGGAGGTGTTGCAGAGCCAAGAGTTACTGGTGCTGCCAGTCAACAACCCTGGAACAATTTGGGGGATTCCACTCTAGGGCTAAACTGCAGGCGAATAAAATCACGCGGCTTATTGGCCAGTTAATTGCTGTTGGGGGTGCTTCCTTTTCAATGATAGAAGGGGAGCCTTTCAAACAGTTGATGGAGGCTGTTGCTCCTCGATACCATCTTCCCTCACACTCCACTTTCAGCAGGAGGATAGTCCATTCACTCTACCAGTCCTGTGTTGGAGTAGTGAAAAGGGAAAAGCATTTTACCACAGATTTGTGGACTGCTTTCGAAGGCTGCTGGTCTGTCTGTGCATTTTACCACAGATTTGTGGAGTGCACCAAGTGGGCAGCATGCCTTTCTTTCCCTGACAGCACACTGGTGGGAGCCTAGTGTGTCTCAGGAAGTTGCTGCTGCAACTTCAAGTGTATCTGTAGATCAGCTGGGCTATAGATCTTTCCTTCTCCATGCTGAAGTGATGGATGAAAAACACACTTCAGATAACATTCTGCAGGCAGTAAGAAGGATGGTGTCTCTTTGGGTTGGATCGGAGGCAGGCACCAGGTGTGTGACTGTCAGCAAAAGAGGGGAATGCTGTCTGAGGGAGTAGTTCATCAGGAGGCTGAGATATCGGCTACTTCTAGCAGAAGCATTG